CACGAGTTCCACTGGTTGTGACACCTAGCCGTAACAATCAGTGTCTCTATCCAACGGTTACCATGATCTCATCCACCCCTCTCCAGTCTTCCACCAGTTAAGTCATCATAATATAAACACTGTCTTCTATTTTTAATCATTTCATTGTTCATTTTTAGTACCCACTAAAATGTCACATTTCTTGGTTATCTCTTACAGATTTATATTTCGTTTGCTGAGTCGCGATATCCACCGACCGCTCGAAATTGATTGCTTCCTTCACAAATGCGAAAACCGAAAGGTCCCAAACTGTCGCTTGTATTTGATGAAGATAAACGCAGGTAGCCGCATCACCAATCTCACCTTTCGATTTCACAGAGAATATTTAACAGGTTTTCGCAAACGCAAATTAGAACGGAAAAAGAAAGGCCGTGAATTAGCTCAAGCGAAACTAGCCGAGGAGATCAGGGCGGTAAAAATGAAGGTACAGCTCCTTCGAACATACCAACACCCCCTCTCCGCTTTTCTGCACACTTCTAGTATCGTGAGGCGGCACGGAAACGCCTGGCCGGTCTCGGTTTAGCTGACTTTATGGAAGACAACAACTTAGACACAGTGGTCGCCCAAGAAGAGCGTATTGTTGGAGATCGCAAGGTGACCTTTGAACATATCGATTTGAGCAACTCACACTACTTCATGGGCTCCAACAAAGTGAGTAGCTCATTTAAACAAAAAAATTCTTATTTGCTTCAGGCTGATATTCAACCACAGATCTTACCCGATGTGATAGAAAAGTAAGATGATTATTGTGCGACTAACGAAATCGTTTTTCAAGGCCTTCGATGTCTCTCAAAGCGGCACTGAAAATGAATCCTTCAAAGAAGAAACTGAGAAATCGAGGGATGGTAAAGAAACGACACGGAGCCCATTCGCGAACCACCGCAAAGAAAAAGCGGCGGTGAAATTGGGACCCCATTCGTTTCCCTGTAATGTTGTACAGTGCACTTGTAATATAACTCCTGATAATGATTTGCTTTGTTGATACAGTGACTACTAGTCAGACAGAAGGTTATCGATTCGAGGCTCGTTTTTGGTTTTCCGTACCGGTCCCCCCTCTCGGAGGGGGGGGGGGCTGCGTTGTGCAGCTTTCGCAGCGCTTATCAAACTTATTCGATGGTTTGCTCTTCCAAGGGTACTCAGTTCGGCAGGTTATCATAGCAACCGCACTGACCAATGAGTCGATGCTATTAAGTCAGGTCAAGTCACAAATCGTTTTATTCATCCTGGTCGCGAAATATCCTCTGTTTTAATCGGGGCATGAAAGATCGGCATACGTGCTTTCGATGGTTTCACTATCAATCCTTACCGTCACATGTGTATGAGGCGAGGCGAGTATATTTTGTGATTTGGTCGAACTGTCTGGGTCGTCTGTCACCAATTCGCATATCCAACTGTGTAGCAATTCGTTTACAACAGCATGGTACTCACTCACGATATGGAGAACCCCTGGTGGATGATTTTTATTTTTTGAATTAGACTTTGCATAACCTTGATTTTATTCAGTTTGTGTTAATTTCTTCGACCGTTGTTAGAGTTTCGATTTTGATGACCATCTGTTTTCATTGAACTACTGCATAATTTTGTTCAGTGTAAGTTGTCATGTACAAAATCGATGGTTTCAAGCTTCGGGTAACTGCTCAAACAAAGGTGAATTGGATTAATCTCAACTGTTCTTGAAGGGTCTCCAAAAACCTCGTTACGGTCAGGGATGAGTAGAAGACATCCGTCGTTTAGCAGTGTTCGGTAATCGATGCTTACGTAGTCTGGCCCAAGTGGGATGGAGTGAGCGGGTAAGTAACTTAGAATTAAGTCATCGGGTGTTTGGGAATGCATCGAACAAGAACTCACTATCGTGTCGAGTCCAGCTCAATAGGCTTCGTTGGTCAGGACACGTCTTGCGTATGTCCGACGGTCGCCTACCGCAGCGCGCCTTGTTTGCAGTGGCTGTTACAGGC